TTCTGGGCATCCTTCTTAAGTATGAGTAGCTGCATATCGCGGGCCAATCTACGACCCATTTGAGAAATCTCACGTTCTAGTGTTTGACATAGTCGATCAACATTATCAGGATCTTCCTTTTGGATCTCAACAGAACGTGCTTTTGGCACCTTCAGTCGTCTTTCCCGACATAATCTTTCGTTTTGCACTCGCTCTATAAATAGTGCGGGCCACTTAAGAAGTCTAGCCTTTGCATAACCATATCCTGTTTGATTTTCTGATGGATCCTCCACCAAACCACATGGATCTCGATAGTACTTGGGCATGACAAAATGTCGCTTCCCAAACCTATCATGATAAGCACAAGAGGCATCCAAGAAAGGAAATGGTGTTTCATCTTCAGCATCGCCACTTCCCCTTCCCCTTCCTCGTCGTGAACTTTCACCCCTTTGCAAGTTCCTACCACCTCTGCGACCCCCACTCCCTCCTATGAACCATGTAGCCATGCTAATTTTTTAAAACAAATGAATAATAATTTCGTAGGGCGAAATGAGTTGTAAGGTTGTGTCTTCACCTTTACTCGTTTATATAGTTGATTATGAACGGATAAATGAGAATCCCACATATATGCATGCTGACTGTAAGGTAAATGCATGCTGACTGTAAGGTAAATCAGTAGATTCACTGTTGCCATGTGACTTTCTAAATTGAGAATCCCACATATATCAATACGAGATGAGTTGTCACTGTAATAAAAAAGTCGAGCAAAAAATGGAGAAAACCAAAGCATGTGGACCAAGTCACATCACTTCACAATCCATCTGCATATACGAACAAAATAAGGGCATGCTGACTGTAAGGTAATTCAGTGAATTCACTGTTGCCATGTGACTTTCTGAGTTGAGAATCTCACATATATCAATAACAGATGAGTTGTCACTGTAATACAAAAAATCGAGCAACAAATCGAGGAAACCAAAGCCTGTGCACCAATTCACATGACAAAGACCATCCATCTGCATATAAGGACAAAATAAAGGCATGCTGTTGTTAAGGTAAATCAGTGAATTCACTGTTGCCATATGACTTTCTGAGTTGAGAATCTCACATATATCAATAACAGATGAGTTGTCACTGTAATAAAAAAAATCGAGCAAAAAATTGAGAAAACCAAAGACTCTGCACCAAGTCACATGACTTCACAATCCATCTGCATATACAGACAAAATAAAGGCATGCTGACAGTAAGGTAAATCAGTGAATTCACTGTTGCCATATGACTTTCTAAGTTGAGAATCCCACATATATCAATAACAGATGAGTTGTCACTGTAATAACATCTGCATATAAGGACAAAATAAAGGCATGCTGACAGTAAGGTAAATCAATGAATTCACTGTTGCCATGTGACTTTCTGAGTTGAGAATCCCACATATGTAAATAAGAGATGAGTTGTCACTGTAATAAACAAATCAATAAAACCAAAGACTGTGCACCAGGTCACATGACTTCACAATCTATCTGCATGTACTGACAAGTCTCTCCACGATTTGACTACTCAATGTGTGCAAAAATGAAGCTTATGAAGCTTACGACCCGCTATTTGTATTTCATTGAAAAGTATGACTATTTGAATTGTTCTTGTCATTTGGGAAGCTATTCACCGACCTACCTGTTCTGTTTTATGTGTTGTTGAAGGCGGTAGTTCGATTCACCGAGTTTAGTTTTTTGTCAACCCCTCATTCATTACCGGAGTCATAATTTTTACTGGACTTTCAAGAATTGGAAGGTGACTCTTTCTTCTTTCCTGATGGAGATTGAAATTCGTTGTAATTTCATCCCTATTTGAGCAGCCCCAGTTAAAGGAACCTTTTCTCCAAGTTGCCTGATCTATTTTATGTGTTTTAAGTATTCACATAATTGAACATACATTAATCCATTCATTAATCCAGAACATTCATTAACAAATTGCAATTCAATAAAGAAAGTCATGAACTCATAAATGTGTACTTATAAATGTACGTATTTCATAAACTTCAGGTTCATAACAAAAATACTTGAAATACATCCGTACGTTACACCAACAACAACATTGTCTTACACTCCAGGAACGAACATATGAAAGATAACGGTGTTTGATTTCTTATTCGTCATCTGACATGTAGTAGTCAGAGAGATATTTTTCATTGTTGAAGACATTATTTCGCTCAACCATTGTCAAATCTCTGTTGCTTGCTTCTGCCATTTCAGTGGCTAGCTGAAGCATGAAATGTCGACATCTCCGCATCAACATCCTGTTGTTCTCCTTCTTAATTCTGCTAACTGCTTTTTCATAGTCACTCACATTTCGTCTAGCCATGGTCAATGAACGACGATGAGGTACCGGTGCCCCAAAGTTACGTAGATCATTATACAATCCTTCTTGCTCCGTTACCCTGAACGCCCATTCTGCTCGGATACCAGCATAATAATCCTTCGGACTTGAGTACTTTTCGCTCTTGTAGTCATACATAAATGGAGGTAGCAGCCACACTTTCGGATTTCTTTGCCGGCGTGAACTTCCTGCACCTCTTGAAGACATTGTTAATAAAATTAATAAAATAATAATAATAGTAATTGTATATCTATTACTATTGTTATGACTTCAACAAACATCATACTGGGGTATTTATAGACATCATAGTAGTGCTAGGGCACTATGGAATAAGTGATACACGTGATATTATTTGATGTTATTCATTTCATGTAATTTTGATTACCCGTGACTTTGTGTACCTGTGATGTAGTCACGGACGTGGTTGTAAGATAAAATAATAATTGTAGGCCATAGAATCACAATGCAATCCCTTCATGTTCGAGCAGTGCGTTGTCAAATAAAACAAAATGCAGTGAGTTGTCACATCGGCACATGAAACTATTTTGTCATGCTTACTTTTGTAATACAATAAGTACTCACTTGGAATTGACGATTTCAGTACGTATAAGTGTTTTCGAGAAATTATAAATGAAATCGAAAAATGAAATTTTCTTTGTATTAAAGTAATATTGTTCATAAACTATCATTGTTTTTCACACCAACATAATAAAATGGTCACCTGCTAGGTAAACACGATTGGAACTTTGGTGCCTATATTTTATCTTATTTTCAGTTAATGAACTTCACAGTCATCCGATTTTTATTGTCATTACACAACCGTCCATCATATTTTTTTACCAACATAATAGCATTTTCTGCTTCTTTTCACAGTCGTAATAATGTGACTTAGATGAATTCTGAAATGTGCGGGAAAAACAAAGCATGTAAGTTGCACTGCAGAAGTCACATGCATCACGTAATGTCAAGAAAAAAGTCACAACGTATACAACCATGGCAAAGTCAGAAAGTCACATGCATTACTGCATCACTGCATAAAGTGACATGCAGCATTGCATCACTGCACAAAGTCACATGCAGTGATGCAGTGATGCACAAAGTCACACGCATCACTGTATCACTGCACAAAGTCAGATGCATCCCTGCATCGCTGCACAAAGTCACATACCTCCTACCTACTGTACCCATTGAAATTATGCACAAAGTCACAGGCATCACTGCATCTGCGGCACAATAGCCGATGCTACAGGCCGTTGATTCGTTCATGACTGCACAAAGTCGAGTCCTGACAGCCGAATGCACTGGATAAGGTCAGTGGCATGCATGTCATCGAACAGGAAATTGCATACATACAGCTACCATGTGTATATATGGTATAAATATCGTAGCATACCACAACAAAAGCGTTAAAGCTATTTCTAGCGATATCATCATGACATATACGGTGGTTGATCTATATTCAGCAATGGGTCGCTATTGGGTTGCAGATGGAGATGAATTTCAATACCCATTAAATCCAAATTTGCATTACTCACGTGCCACCGTCAATACCATGAGAGCTGAGTGGGAATTTCGCAAAACTCGAGCAAACGTTCTCGTTGAGCTATGCCGTGAAGTTAATCTTAAATTTCCTCGCCGGTTAGCCATGCGTATGCCAACTGACACTCCACAGTTGTTGCAAAGGGCATTGCATCATATCCGCGACGAGGTTAATCGCATGACACAACGTTTGCAGAGGTCTGAACTAATGAAGACCGCAAATGAGCGTGCCGAAGATGGGTTAATGGATGATGCACACCAGTACTACGCCTGGAGCATGGATGTTATGTATGAATCTGATATTGAGATGTCAGATGATGATGATAATGAATGAAATTGTTTAGATGAACGCCCAGGGCATTTCTGTAATGCATGCAATTTGTAATGCTTATCCATGACTTATCAATGAAGCGAGATATTTCAATTATTTTTAGCCTTGAACAAACATATTTTTTATAGCTTCTTTACACGTTTTGTTCAAACCAAACGCGTTTGTAATTTATGTTCTCCTAAATTACGGATAATGAGAGAGGGGTAGAGATGTGAAACAGATTTGTGTGATTCATCAATATAAATAAGAATAAAAAATTATGAAATTATAATTGCGAATAAATAAGTATGACACTTACATCAGCTGTACAAGTTTGACACATACAAACAAAAAAAAGAAAAAAAAAAACCTATATAGTCCATATCGCAACCGCTAATGCCCTAACCTGCCCCCAGTCCCACAACCCCGACCGTGGATCTCCCTCCTCGGTCTCCTACGGTAGACTCTCTGAATATCTGGCACTCTCTCCCCTGCATGCTGCCCTCCACTGACTGCCTGCGGAGCCTGTGAGTGTGAGTGTGACCCCCCCTCTCCTGCATCTGATGCCCCTGATCCTACCTGTGCTTGTAGATCAGATACTGCTGTGAGCAGTGAAACTCCCACTCCCTCGTCTGGTGCAACTGTATCACGATCTGCAGCTGGACCACGACCTCTGCCTCTGCCCGCACCCCGACCTCGGCCGCGACGTCCCCCACGACCATAACCTCTCCCTCGCACTCTGGGGGGGGCTCAATATGGCCCTCATCATCAATGTGTGAGATGTCAGTGAGAACTGCATCATGTGTACTCCTGGCGCGCGGTCGAAGTAGTCCCCATAAAAGCAGGTGGTAACTGGGTGGCTGGGGTAGCAACATCATGCATGAACCGGGGCGCGGTCGAAGTACTCCCCAGAAAAGTAGGATGTAACTGGGTGGGTGGGGTAGCAACATCATGCATGAACCGGGGCGCGGTCGAAGTACTCCCCAGAAAAGTAGGATGTAACTGGGTGGGTGGGGTAGCAACATCATGCATGAACCGGGGCGCGGTCGAAGTACTCCCCAGAAAAGTAGGATGTAACTGGGTGGGTGGGGTAACAACATCATGCATGAACCGGGGCGCGGTCGAAGTACTCCCCAGAAAAGTAGGATGTAACTGGGTGGGTGGGGTAATAACATCATGCATGAAGCGGGGCGGTGACCAATCAGGGTCAGGGTCAGCATGCTGGGTAAGATGTACGTGTGGGGAATATGGAGAAATGTATGGGGTATCATGTGGTGGGGTGACTGAAGTCGAAGGACCTGCTGTGGCTGGCGCTGAACTGGAAGGCACTGACGTGGACGGGACTGATGTGTCTGGAGCAGCTGCTGCACTGTGTACACCGTAGTCCCCAAAATGCAGACGATCTACCCGATGGGCATGCTGGATCCCCTCGTACAATAACTCTCTGATCTCTACAAGGGCCTGCAGACCAAGCTGTCCATCACGTCTGAAAATAGCATCCTCAGCCAAGTGATATGACCTCCCAGCTCGAACCACCTGGAAAAAAAATCAGATATATTAGGCTATAGTTGACTGAAAATAATCAATTATGATATTAACAATTATCGGACATATAGTACGATACTCACCAATGCCTCGAGAGAAGGCCCAACTCTCTGATATCCGGCCTCGGACAGGTGGCTCGGATTACCGACAAGTAGGTGTGTATGTCGCCGATACCACAACATGTAAGGGTCGGGAGAGGAGAGGACCCCATCACTCCAGTCAGCCTGTACAATAGTGTCGCGACGGGCATCCCACAACTGTATGTATCGCATATGATGCTGACTCCAGTCAGTGCTGGCTCGGCCACGTCTATCCGTCGCATGCAACCGCCACTCGGTGTCACACCGATCCGGCACGGCCTGGACCCGACCAAACTGTCGGAGGACACGATCAGGGAGATGCCACTCAACCACGTCAAAACAAATGAGTGGTACTCTCGCCATCCATATATCCTCACCTAGGCGGCAGTAGTCTGGGAGCGTCTGGAGGACATCAGCATAAGGCTGCCAGATAAACTACAATAACGACAAGTCTATTAAAAATCGCTCATAAACATATACAGTCCATATGACAATTAAAATTTAGGTATATAAATTTGATACCTCGCCGTCTATCATCCGGTCAAGCTGGTCTCTATACACGACCACTACGTGGGTCGATACGACCTCGTGGCTCATGTCAACCCTCCACCGGCTACCTCGAGGTCCGGCCGGCATCTGCATGTCTCCCTGCCCGATGGGAACCTCACCAGGAGCAACTAGTTGCCGCCTAGACGGGGCAATGCGAATCAATCTCTCCCACGCCCAAATCTGCAATAGTTTGAACGCAATTACAATACTGATATATGCCATACAATATGAATTGACATGTAATAAAATTCTTACTAACCTGTAGCAAGACAAGGGGTCCTCCGATCTGAGTCACATCAAGTAGAAAATAAAAAACATAGGCTTATGTGGTATAGTTAAATGTTTTTGCATTGTCATTTACTTTAATTTATTTGTTTAGTATGTTAGTTGTAAATTTTGTCAAGGAAATTAAACAATTACAATATATAAAGAATTAAACAATAGAAATGATCTATTACAAATAAAAAATGTTCTATTACATGTATGACCCCGTTTACAAATAATGAATTACAAAAGAAAATAAAATGATCTATTACAAATAAAGAATTACAAAAAGATCTATTACAATATGTAAGTATTACATAGTCTTCATCGACCAAGTCGCGCCGGACATGTTCGCCTGTCATGACCTGTCTGCTGGCACTCACTGCAACGAGCGGTCAAACGCCTATCTGATATGTCCATCTCATTCGGAATACGAGACATAGATGCACGACCCCGTTTCACTTGTCGCAGACGCAGTACATTAGGCATTAAAGTCCACTGCGGATCAGCCCAATAATCTTGATGCGGTATTGGATTGAATTTAGTTTCCCAAACCCTCATGTATACAGGAAGCCTATATACTAGATCAACGTACTCGAATGGATTGTCACCGCATTCAGACATTACAGCGAGCATATGAGAACATGGATAGTGTCGTATCTCATATTTCCCACAACTGCACGTGGGTTGATTCATCCGCACAATTTGTGTATTGCGACCTCGTCCATGGCGAAAAGATGTTTACACCTCAAACACGCGGCGTGGCCTATAAAAAAATTGTAATAGAAACTAATGAAGTTCATGTTTTTAGGTGTAGTTAAATTGACAACATAATAACAATAATTTAATTTATATTACAAACTAACCTGTCATATGATATCAACTTGAAAGTACTTGTCCTTGCGATGCCATCCTCAATATTTTTTTGCATCTGTCTAAGGTATTGGAACTCATTTTGTACATCTAGTTCAGCTTGGGCTCCCATCTCGTCAAAATATTTTACAAGCCGCCGAAATGTAAATTCTACCATAGCTGAGATAGGTAAGTTCCTTGCACCTTTCAAGACACTATTGAAGCACTCTGCATCATTGCTAGTCAATACCCCCCAGCGATGTCCACCGTCATACGAAAGGGCCCATTCCTCAGGATTCATCTTGTAAACCCAAGTGATGGCTTCTTGGTCAATAGCCTGTATTTGTTGTAAGTAACCATTACACTTTCGTCGTTGATGGGCACTTCCTGCTTTCCATAGAAGTTGTTTCAGCTCCTTATTTCTGAACGTAGTGTTAAAGTTACTACAAACATGTCGAAGGCAGTGCCGATGATATCCAACAAATTGGAGCGAGGGATTCAACCAATGCCGTCTCACAGCAGCTAAAATACTCTCAGCTCGATCGGATATCAAAGTCACTCCCTGTCGGTCCATGACAATATGTTCCTTGATATTTGAAATGAAGAACGACCAAGACTCCAAACTCTCCTTGTCGACAACAGCAAATGCAAGCGGTAGTAGTTTGCCATTGGCGGTGACAATCGTTGCTACAAGCAACACACCAGTGTATTTCCCGTATAAGAATGTACCATCTATGGTTATAACAGGCCTACAATGTCTGAATCCATCGATGACGGGTTTGAAAGACCAAAAAACAAAGTGGAAAACGGGCATAATGATTGTATTTCCGGTATATCTATGCTTCCATTGCACGATGGTACCAGGATTAGATGTTTGTAATGCATACATGAATTTAGGCAACATCATATATGATTCATCCCAATCTCCGAATACCATTCGAAGCCTTTGCCCTTGCATGCCACGCCTTCTTGTAATGTATAGTATAGTTCATGGATTTTTTTATGTCTTCGATGACATTCTTAATGGGCATATCAGGTTCGTTCTGCATACAACAATACCTATGAGTCAGATTATTTTGGTGTGAACACTTTAAAGACACAATTTTGGTGTGAACACTTTAAATAAACAATGTGTATATAAATGTAAACATTTATTTTGTATACTCACCGCAACTTGTCCCAAAAGATGAGAAGCAATGTAACTGGAGCTAATATTTGTGTGGTCCATATTCGTTCGTGGGTATAAACAATGGTGAGGACCCCTATACTGCTTTATTTCAAAAAGCCCATGTCTCTTACTAAGAGATGCACGCAACCACCATCTACAGTCGTGCTTGCAAGCACACACCCAAACGTCTCGCTTTGAGGTTACGACTTTGTACTCTCGATTATTTGTTGCATGGTACAATTTCACAGCATGTACGAGTTGCTTCTTATCAACGAAAACCATCCCTTTGTCCAACTCTGGATTTTCAGCATTCCAGATTCGGTTACGGGGAACGACACCGCGGTTACTAATGTCAAAATCACCACCCATGTGAATGTTTTCAAAGAAAGGGATTTCGGGTCTAGGTGGAATGGGGGCATTCTGAATATCAACGGGAGCGTCGACATCATCTTCTTCATCATCATCATCATCATCATCTGATCCGCCCAATAAATTTTCTTCATCACACATTTCATTCTCATCATTGTCTAGGGCGACATCAGGACCGTACATGTCACTGTCAGCAAACTGCACAAAATTAACCGTTTCAGCCATATTACCAGCAACTTCAACTGGAGTCGTATGATGGCTATAGGTGGGCACATCTTGGGTGTTATTGTGAAATTCAGTCTCGTATCCACCATGTGAACTTGATTCTCCACCATGGCCATGAAATGTCTGTTGTGTGTAGCCAGCTGCATAACATTCATTTGATTCATACATAGGAGACTGAAATGCTGTCGTGTCAACCCCATGTGTCAGCAATGTAGTGAACGGATGCGAATCCATCTGTGTTATATTCGGAAGATTCTGTACAACCTCTTTCTGAATGTACACTTCCAAACAATTTGGTGGTTCGAAATTTCCACCGATACTTAAAACGGTGTTCAACGCCTCATCGTCATTTATCGGTAATATTTTGTATTTGCTAGTTGCTTGCCACTGACGATAAGGATATCTACATTTGAAGATCAATCGGACTGTTTCCCTGTAACTTGTGACCTTGGACATAAACATCTCCTCCAAATTGCCAAGTGTGGTGCCAAGTTGCACCATATATATCCCTTTCGGCTCAGCATCATATGACACACCTTCATCGGGATCCCGAATTATGTTTCCCCCCCAGTAAAAGATAATTGGAACAGTTGCCATATACTTGCTTCAATGAAACAATAAATATTAAAATATCAACAATATACATATATCGAATTGTACTTGTAAAATAAACATTAAAATTTGCAGAAGCCACAAATAAAAGCAACCCTCTAATTTTTTATCAATTTATATTTTCCAAGGTTGAAGGAACTGTAGAGGTGAAACATTAATTCAATTTGTATTTTGTCAACTATATATTTGTGTCTCAACTTGATTATTGCTGTTTATTTTCTCATTTTTTTCCACTTATTTTTATTCGTATAACAGAACAGCTGAGATTTCATCTATACGTGGAGTTATAGATTGTGTCTCATTTACTTCCTATGTGAAGACTCTTATCTTTTCAACGTGAATGTTCTTTGTTGTCATTGCTCTATTGTCTTAATCTAAAAAACACATAACAAGAAGTATACTTGTTGTCTTAATTCTTTCGAATTAGTGGCGAAAAATAAAATAGGTTGAGAGATATTTAGTAGAGGGTGACGCGATTGATTTGGACAATATAAAATACAGGGTGCAAACATTGAGAGAGATTTTTTTAACCTGGTGATGTAATTGTTCAGATTTATGGAAAATACAAGTTAATTTGATTTGCTCCAACTTGTGCCATTACGGACCTTAATGACAAAGTTATTTCCTATGTAAACTAGTAACCCCCGTCCATTTTGTAGAGGGCATAGAGGCTTTCTTATAAAATTAAAACAACAAACTGATTTTGGATCATTTTGGATCGTTCTGAAAAGTAAGAAAAAAATTAAATTTATTTACTCCTTTTTTTTCTTACACATACAAAAACAAAAAAATAATTACAGAGATAATTTATAATGGCAAAAAATTAGAGATAATTAAATTGAAGTTGGTGGTTAAATGTATAGACTACATTTTGGATAGTTATCCATGTGAATCTATCGGGCCATCCGTACCAATTATTTGGTATTACAAAACACATGCTTACCCATCAAAGTGCCAATTTTTTTTTCCCTTCTTACTTACAAAATTGCTATGGACTATTAATTAAAATAATTTATTACTCTTTTCATGCATATATGTCTGCACACCTCTATGGACAGAATAATTATGATATTTGCTTCCGCCAACCCCTAATTTTGTAAATCTATTTAAGTGCCCTTCGGTAATCTTAGGATTACTGGCCGGTCATACCTATAGTAGCGGGTTTGGGTCGTGATAGAGTGGTATCAGAGCACGAGTTATACCGTACACATGAGTCCATATAAGCTACAAGATGTCCTAGAAAGAATTAGGGGCATTACATCAGCATGTGTTAGTGTATGTGAAATTATACGACATGTCAGAAACAATTAGACATGAAATGAAATTGAGCATTGTCAAAACTATAAACGAGCTATTTGCCTATGTTTATTAGTGCTCTATTTACCTATAGCAAATGGAGAGAACAAGAAGTGATGATGTGATTGAATCCTTTGATGCTAGAAACTGAAAAATTATTTGAAGTGTTTCCATGTTAAATCATTTTAGATCATTTTGGATCGTTCTGAAAAGTAAGAAAAAAATTAAATTTATTTACTCCTTTTTTTTCTTACACATACAAAAACAAAAAAAAATAATTACAGAGATAATTTATAATGGCCAAAAATTAGAGATAATTAAATTGAAGTTGGTGGTTAAATGTATGGACTACATTTTGGATAGTTATCCATGTGAATCTATCAGGCCATCCGTACCAATTATTTGGTATTACAAAACACATGCTTACCCATCAAAGTGCCAATTTTTTTTTTCCCTTCTTACGTACGAAATTGCTATGGACTATTAATTAAAATAATTTATTACTCTTTTCATGCATATATGTCTGCACACCTCTATGGACAGAATAATTATGATATTTGCTTCCGCCAACCCCTAATTTTGTAAATCTATTTAAGTGGCCTTCAGTAATCTTAGGATTACTGGCCGGTCATACCTATAGTAGCGGGTTTGGGTCGTGATAGAGTGGTATCAGAGCACGAGTTATACCGTACACATGAGTCCATATAAGCTACAAGATGTCCTAGAAAGAATTAGGGGCATTACATCAGCATGTGTTAGTGTATGTGAAATTATACGACATGTCTGAAACAATTAGACATGAAATGAAATTGAGCATTGTCAAAACTATAAACGAGCTATTTGCCTATGTTTATTAGTGCTCTATTTACCTATAGCAAATGGAGAGACAAGAAGTGATGATGTGATTGAATCCTTTGATGCCAGAATGGAAAGAATGTTAGAAGCTTTAACCGAGTCCATGAGATAACAACAGAGACAACAACTACCTCTTTCGCCTTCTTCAGTGCAAGTGGAACCGATAATTAATGACATTATCGGGTTGACTCAGAAATTTAACAAGATGAAACCTCTGACTTTTCTAGGTGTTATTGAGCCACTGAAAGTTGAAACCTGGATACTAGAAACTGAAAAATTATTTGAAGTGTTTCCATGTTGGATCATTTTGGATCATTCTGAAAAGTAAGAAAAAAATTAAATTTATTTACTCCTTTTTTTTCTTACACATACAAAAACAAAAAAAAAATTACAGAGATAATTTATAATGGCAAAAAATTAGAGATAATTAAATTGAAGTTGGTGGTTAAATGTATGGACTACATTTTGGATAGTTATCCATGTGAATCTATCGGGCCATCCGTACCAATTATTTGGTATTACAAAACACATGCTTACCCATCAAAGTGCCAATTTTTTTTTTCCCCTTCTTACGTACGAAATTGCTATGGACTATTAATTAAAATAATTTATTACTCTTTTCATGCATATATTATACAAACATGAATAAACATTATTAAAACATAATGTTTAGATTTTCCTTTTCAATGGTAGTGGACAATCACAAAGTGAAAAAGACGATAAGTCAGTTCGTTCAATACCCATTTCAAAAACTTTCTCAAATTTTCTTCAGTTTTATCATAAAATTTTAATTTGTACTAGAATACTATTATATGTATTACAAATTCAGCTCATTAAATGTTTTAATCATATTTTGACTGCTTGACCCCAAATATGACCCCAAATATAGTGAAATAAACCAAACGAAATTAAACCAAATTTTTTTTTTTTAAATCAAATACAGTCAAATTTAAATATTTTCAGAAACCAATAAAAATATTTCTTTTCAATAAAATAGAGTCAAAATTAAATATTTCAGAGAACATGATCTTTTATTTGAGAGAACATGATCTTTTCATGGAGAGAAAATTAAATATTTTTTTAATCAAATACATTCAAAATTAAATATTTTTTTGTTTAATAATTATATTTTGTAGAAATTAGACATTAACAATTTCTGAACCATAATTTGATTCAAAAAATGTAGACATTTTGATTCACAAGCATAATTTCAAAATTCCAATTTCTGATTTCAAATTTCAAAATATAGACATTTCATAATTCCAATTCAACAATTCTCAATTACATGAATTTCGTAATATGACATTAACAATTACGAATTATATGAATTACAATTTTTACTATTTTTATTCTTAATTAAACAAAATTACTAATTTCATCACCACAACCACACTGACAAAGCATAAACATTCATAACCATATTCAACTTCATAACCACAATGATAAAAACCCTAACATTGACAGAAAAATACATTTAATAATTCCAAAAAATTCAAAAACTAATCCTGATTCCAAAAAATTCAAATACATTTAAAAACCCTAAGATTGACAGAAAAACCCTAACCCTGATTTCAAAAAATTCCAAACCCTAATTTCATAACCACAATGATAAAAACCCTAACACATTTAATAATTCACATGTAAAACCCTAACATTGACAGAAAAATACAACACATTTACAAACACAAAAACTAAATACATAAAATTAGGGTTAATGTCATACCACGGAGAGAGAGAGAGCAGAGACAGAGAGTGAGAGCAGAGACCGAGAGCAAAGAGCGAGAGCGAGCTGAGATGGAGGAGGGTGAGAGATGGAGAGGCTGATAGATGGAGAGGCTAAGAGATGGAGAGTGAGCTGAGAGCGAGATGGCCCTAAGTCTGAAAAACGTATTCTGAAAAACATATGCAAATGAGGGGGGCTTCGTATATATGAGGACTTCAAAAACGCTGATTGAAAAAGCGTTTTCATTTAACTGAAATCGCTATTAGAAATAGCGTTTTTCTGGCAAATTTTTTTTGTTAAAATCGCTATTAGCAATAGCGTTTTTTTGGTAAAAAAATTTTGTGTAAAAAACGCTGTTCTTAACAGCGTTTTTTTTGGACAAAAAATTAACCCTAGAAGCGCTATTTGTAACAACGACTTCTTAATCAAAGTCGCTATTTGTAATAGCAATTTTCCTGTTCATCTACTTTTACGCCCCTAACAGTAAAAGCGCGAATAGTAATGACACTTTAGTTTAATTTTAAAATTCCGTCATAAATTGACCTAATTTTAAAAGTACAATGTAAAAAAGGCTTATATTGGAAAAGCCTCGACCAAACGGTTCGGCCTCGATTGCCGTACAGAGACAGTCGTCCCTCTCTCCTCGGCCTCCCACAGTCCCTCCTTCGCTCCTCTCTCCCACGTTCTTCATTCTCTCTCTCAAGCCCAGACCCTCTCGGCGGCTAAGTCTCTCCCTCATTCTTCTTCTTCTTCTCTCTCTCTCTCTCTCTAGCGCTTGGGCCCTCCCTCATCAATCTTCTTCTTTCCCCTTTTTCTTTCTCTTAATCTCAGTTTTCTGCTCTTTCCTTTCACCATCTGTGTTCTTCAACCCCCTTCTGTTGTTTTTTCCCTTTCTTTAATCTGTATTTAGCCATTTCAGTTCTAAACTCAAGTTGGGTCTGTTTGTTTTGTGAGTTGTTTCTTTTTCTTTTATTTTCTTTTCCCATCTCTATTACCTGTAATCTATCACTCAATCTCTTCCCTTGCCTAATCAACCAATCGTCACTACAAGGTTTCTCTTGCTATCTCTCCCCAGGTATTCCTCTCTCTCTCTCTCTAATATATGTATAGGTTGGCTGTAATGTATTTGTATATATTTGATGTATTATCTTTGCAATCTTAATGTTGTTTCATGTTTTGATAACAATTAGACACAGAACAATTTTAGGGTTTTCATGAAAATCAGAAATTTGTAACTTCATCGTGGTATATAGTTTTGGGGATGATGAAGGTGAAAATAGCAATTGTGGTTTAATTTGTTTACTATAAAGTTTTCTATCTGCATTTTTTTGGACATGATGATATCCTATTGAAGCTTGGAAGTGTTTGGGTAAAAAGGGAGTTGCTTGATTAAGGCTTCGTTTGGCAAGAGGCTATTTTAGCCAATTAGCCAAAAAGTTATTAAATTAGCCAAAAAGCCAACAACCCATACCAAAAAGTCAAAGATTCTCTTTTCTCTCTACTTTTTGCACATCTTTTCGTAATTAGCCAAAAAGTCATCCCAAACATACAAGTTTTTTTTACCTACCTTTTTAGCCAAATAGCCAAAAAGTTACTAAATTAGCCTGTTCCCAAACGAGGCCTAACTAGGTTGTTTAGCAGAATTTTGTTGACTAGAAACATGCCAGATGAGTGGAGAAAGAGTATTTTAGTGCCAATCTATAAGAATAAAAGTGATGTCCAGAATTGTAACAACTATAGAGGAATTAAGCTAATGTGTCGTATAATGAAAGTGTGGGAGAGGGTGATGGAACGCCGATTGCGAGACATAACAGAGGTGTCAGAGAATCAATTTGGGTTTATGCCTGGTAGGTCAACAATGGAAGCGATCTATCTTTTGAGGAGAGCATCCTTTCCTTTTTAGCCTGCATAATAGTTTCAAGGTGGGCTGCAAACTACACTAAACGCCCAAAATCTCTAGTCATGGAACTGGCAACTCGAAACATGAGTCTGGTCATCAATTTCTTCCCAAACTCCAGACAGCGGCGTTCCTCAGTCGCCACTAACTTAGGTGCAAACCTGGATAGACTAGTAAAGGTGGCCTCAAACTTCGCCACTGGTGTATTCAGCTGCTTGAGCTAACAAAACTGTTCCCACAACTTCTCCCTAACAGTGGGAGGCAAAAACTTCTCCTAAAAGGCGTCAACAAATGCCTCCTAAGTCCCTCCAGTGTGCCCCCACGCATACTTCCACCACTGATCTGCGTCTCCCTTCAGCTGGAAGGATGCCAAGGTCACTCTTAGACCTCCGTCTTCGATGCCAAGCATCTCAAACGTTTTCACTAACTGTTCTAGCCACTCATCTGCCTTCAGTGGCTCCTTGGGATCACCCAAAACTCATCCGGATTCGACCGGAAGAACTCCCTCTTCAGGAAAGATAGCTCGAGCGTGAAATTCGTGCTCCCAGCATATTTTGCAGACATGACTCCCACTCGAGCGGGGAAGTTCACGCTCGAGCGGGGAGCCATGTAAACAAATAAATTAAGGGTAAAATTGGAAATAAAATCCTTCAAAACAAACAAAACAACTTTTCACCAAATTATTTCACAAAAAGTGGACGTCTCACCAAAAAAAAATATCTACTGGACATAATGTCTTATACCCTCTTTAACAATTATCTCTATATTAAATATAATATTAAAAAAAAAATATAAACATAGCATTATTGATAGATTTTTTTATAAATCAAGTACTGTTGCACCAATAAAGAAATTGGTGATCAACAGTTTGATTAATCTGTAGCTAATTAATGGCAATTTTTTTTCAATGTAGTCAAGTATATGCTTATAATTTCTTAATATAGTTCGCAAATTAAGATTTTTTTTCTTTAAAATTTTGACATGCAAGACAAAAGTTTAAGAATATCAGCAGCAAAGTGAATGGATTTTTTTTGTACACTAAATTTGAAGGGAAAAAAAAAGGAACCGGTGGCTATGTTTTTTTGTTTTTTGTTTTTATGTAAATGTAATTATGGTGTAAGTATGACATCATGGTTTGACTTCGTCAGCCTGATTTCTTCTCAGAACCATCCAACATTTTAAAACATTTGGTGCAAACCATGGATCTTGAGAAACTAAAACCTTGGTATTAGTAACCGTTCTCACGTGAAGTTGGTTTGAATTGAAAATCAGCAATGCTAGATTTAAATTAAGAAGTTAATGATATGATACAAGATTAAATTAAATTATATTATTGCCTTTATAATAATGTGGCATCATGATCGATAATTGTTGGATACACAATGCCACTCTAAAAACAGGCCTGCAGGCACTTAGGAATATTTATTATTCATATGTAGCAATCTGTTGGAGATATAAATGATACCACTTAATTAGATTTACGTCATCATGTTTAATTATGTCCTTAAATGTTTTACACCTCTAGAGATATTTTACATTAGTAGTAGATTTTATTTTAACATGAAGTGTTTCTTTCAGTCTATTTGGTGATAGTTCACATTTTAAAAAAGGGAGATGGTTTGGTGCTCTAACTGCGGGCAAGATTGTCCCGAAGGACGTGATTATGTTACTGGCGTGGTGTAAGTATTGTATTGCTCTATTCTCATTTTCAGTTACATCTTAATGTTTTTTTTTCTCCAAAAAGCATATCAATTGTTTTGTAGCTGAGATAAACAAAAGTATTATATTGGGTATTCCTAGCTGATTCCTGAAGTCTTCTAATTATCACCACTTGTTTCTTTCAGATCTTGTGCTGTATGTGGAAGAGTTATCTATCAAGACATCTTCGCTGAAGAGCCTACTTTTGTCAAAGGCGCTGGAGGGGAGGTCTGATGCTCCTAGTTGTTATTTTCTGCTGTGCAGTCTAAATTATTTGGACGTTATAAATTTATGCATCGGATAGGTGATTACTATTTTGTAAAATAACAATAGTTGACATGATCAATTTATTACGCTCCTTTTTTTGTCAAGTCCCTTTTGAAATTTCTTCTTTTTTAATTTATAGCCGAACACATGTAAGACATTTGGAGAACACATGTCTGTCACTTAGGAGCACATAATACATATTGTAAGTTAGAAGAAAATAAATTGGGTGCCAATGATGAAAATGAAAACAATGTGAATTTACACTTATTAAAGTTTTCCTCCTTTAGGCTTTTAGATTAGGAACTCTGAAGTCTAAAACTTGCAATTTGTTTATAGATAAAGCCTTTCTACATAGATATTATGACCTTTTGTTCTCACTTTGTTTCCAATTTATAGGATGTGGAAATAAATTTCTTAGTACTTTGATATAAATTATAAAAATGTATTTATTATGTAAAAAATGAAGAAATTGTTTTTATATTTATAGAAATATTTAACTTTTATATCTGTTGCATGTCCTTTCGTATTGTGTTATGATTTTTAAAAATTGCTTGTCCTCGTATGTTGTAGCCCTGTCTTCCATGTCCTTATCTGTTCTTCCTATCTTGGTAAGAACTAGGTTCCTTCTCAAGTGTCCATGTTATATAACCATTTTATTATTGCGGTGTTTATTTTTCTCTCTTTCTCTCTATACAAGGCCATCAAATTTTGATAATAAAATATACAAGGCCATCAAATTTTGATAATAAAATATGCGACATTTTGTTCGGATTGGTCAATGAGTTGGAACTCCGCCGGGGTTGTTAACAACTCCACCGGTCCCAAGCCTGGGTTAAGGAGGAGGGTTGTGTGTTAGCTAGTCAATATCCAACATGTAAAAAAGCTGCTCGGATCCCTTATGACAATGAAGTTCCAATATATAAGAGTAAAGGAGATATTCAGAATTACAATAACTATAGAGGAATCAAGCTAATGTGTCATGTAAGGAAAGTGTGGGAGAGGGTGATGGAACGCCAATTGCGAGATATAACAGAGGTGCCAGAGAATCAATTTAGGTTTATGCTTGGAAGGTCAACAATGGAAGCTATTTATCTTTTGAGGAGAGTAATAGAAAAGTATAGAAAAAAGAAAAGGGACATTCATATGGTGTTTATTGACCTTGAGAAAGTATATGATAGAGTATCTTGGGATATAATATGGTCGGTGTTAGAGAAGAAATGGGTGACAAAAGGTTACATTGATGTGATTAGGGACATGCATGAAGGGGTGGTGACCACTATTAGATCGCCTGCTGGAGAGACAAATGAATTTCCTATCACTGTAGGATTACACCAAGGATCTATCTTAATTTCTTATCTTTTTGCTTTAGTTATGGATGAGTTGACGAGAAATATTCAGAATGATGTGCCATGGTGTATGCTTTTTGCAGACGATATTGTGCTAGTGGATGAGATTAGAGGAGTTAACACAAAGTTGGAAATTTGGAGAAAAACTATTGAATCTAAAAGATTCCGGATAAGCAGCACTAAGACAGACTACATGGAGTGTAAATTTAGTAACAGTAACAATGCAAGTAGAGGAGAAGTGAAGATTAAGAATAAAAAACTGCTTAAGAGTGAATATTTTCGTTATTTAGGATTGATTATCACAACAGCGGGGGAGATTGATGTGGATGTGGTGCATAGGATTAAGACGGGATGGTGTAAGTGAAGAAGTGCGTCTGGGGTATTGTGCAATAAACGAATACCTACTAGACTAAAAGGTAAGTTCTATAGAACGGCTATTAGACCAGCGATGTTGTATGGAATGGAGTGTTGGGCAACCAAGAAACAACATGTCGATAAGATGAGTGTGTCTGAGATGAGGATGTTCAAGTGGATGTGTGGTAAGACTAGACAAGACAGAATTAGGAACGAGTATATTCGGGAATGGGTATGAGTAGCACCGATAGAAGATAAGTTGAGAGAGAATCGATTGAGATGGTTTGATCACATTCAACGGAGACCAATAGAGGCAGTAGTGAAGAGATGCGATGCTGTAATGGTAGATGGGAGTGTTAGGGGACGAGGTAGGCCTAGATTAACGTTGGCTAGCATTGTAAATAGAGATATTGATTTCCTTAATTTAACTAACGAAATAGCCTTTGACAGGGCCGCATGGAGAAGAAGGATTGATGTAACTGACCCCATTTGATGAGACTTAAGGCTTGGCTTGGTCAATGAGTTGGTAGAGTTTGACTAGACTAAACTTTACACTTTATAAATTTTTGTCTTGTCAAACTAAGAATAATTGGCATGGTTATATTTTCAATTTATATGAGCAGAGATTTGTGGATAAATACTATCTATGTTGGTGACAAAGATTGGAATTCCATTAAATAGTATCTTTCCTTTAATAGAAGAAAAAGGGTTGCAATGTAGACATGATTTGTCATGACCCAAACCCGCTCCTAAAAGTTTGGTTCATAACCGGCTAGTAATCACACGATTACCTATGGCCTCATACAGAAAACAAATGTTTTTAATAATGGGGCTTTAAGTGGGAGCAAATAGTATAACTAACGTCTATTGAGCAATGCTTCAATGATCAGGATAAACTCTCATATATATATATATATATCATGATTTCCAAACATAATGTATGTATGCATAGGAGTCTTCAACATTAAGTTTTCATATTCACAAACCCATTTAACAAAAACCAAACAGAAGACTTAACATGAAACATAACACCAAAAAGACAAAAGCTCCATCTTGGAGGCTTGGCATGACAGGTCCACGTAGACAATTTCTGAGGCTGACTCTAAGGCTGATCTCCCTGCTGATCACCTATATACATATAAAATAGGGAGTGAGCGAAGCTCAATGAGTAATAACAATGCAAAGGGTTAATAAATGAGTTTGAACCAAATAAAGTATTTAACATAAACAGTAAGTTTTCAGAAATAAAAACGATCAATAGTTTTCTTCATATTCGAATTTGACAATCGGTCTTGGGTCCAACATGATACGGAACGACCTCAGGTCGAATCATACAAAACGATTTTGGGTCCAATTATACAAGACAGCCTCGGGCCCAAACATACAAAACAACCTCGGGCCTAACAAATTACAGAACGGCCTCGGGCCCAACATATTATAGAACGGCCTCAGGCCCAATTATATTACAAAACGGCCTTGGGTCCAATTATATTACAAAACGGCCTCGGTCCTAACATATATGAGAGTTTATCCTGATCATTAAGCTCAATTAAGCTTACAACTTAAAACCCTAGATCAATTAGGTGTTTAATCTTCATTTTAATCCTTGAATTCAAACAAATAATGAGTTAATTCCATGAGTTTTAGTTGAATTTCACATACCTTGAGTCAATTTCTTGAGTTTTACTTCAATTCCTCTATTTCTCTTCCAAGTTCCCTAGCTTTTCTTTTGTCCCTCTCTTGAACTCTCTCCCTTTCTCTCTTTGTTTAGCTCTAGCACATTTTGGTTGAGTTCCTAAGGCTCTTCACCAAGTCAATATATATATATATATATAAGGCTCCTTAATTAACTTTACTTAGATTAGATTAATTATTGATTAGGCTTAATCACGCAAAACTTAAGTTAAACAATCTAAAATTTAGTTTAATTGATTTAAATCTAATTAATTTATTATGAATCAATTTTTTTTATCAAACTTCTCATTAGGCTCTAAAAATTATACTGAGTACAAATAATTAATCAATTTTGGTTTCTAATACCTCTAAGGCTTTCAATTTTCAGTTCAAAGTTGAAATCACAATAAGTTTTCCTACAAACAATAGATATAGGTCCAAAACTATATGAATTACATAATAATTAAACACATAACCACATGTCTAATTAAAGAATTATAGTATAATACGGGATAGGGTTATCACATGATTAGTCACATATTCACATTATTATAAATTGGATCAGGATTTTTATCTTGATAATTAGGGCTGGAAGTTTGACATTGTTAAAATTATAGCACCGTAACTGCGAGCAAAAACTTATCTATGTAGATTTTTTTTTTTTTTTTGGAAAAATACATAAAACAAAGTTAAAGGAAAGAAAACACACTAATGAAACTTTTGCATCTTCAAACCCAGGGTGAAGGAGCCCATCAACCATTATTTGTAATCAACATGTTTGCAATTTGTTTTTCCCATAAATTTTGAATTTCCTATAACAAATTTCCTTCTGAAAATAAATTTTAAAAACTTTTGCACGGGTTACAATAATGTTATGTACAATAGATTGTAGTTACTAATTTCATACATTGGAGTGCTTATACTTCTCGCTCGGCTATCTTTCTTTTTATATATATGTTTTTGCTACGAATGTACTAATAACTTTGATCTACATGCAGAGCCGTTTAGCGGGTAGTTTTGTCAAGAGTATTCAATCTGATTATTCAGAGTCATATAGAAGAACCCTAGACAAAGGTTTGGAGTTCTTCTTACATTTTCTTTTGTTTGTTTTTTTAATTGAATTGTTTGGTCCATTTTAAATTGAAAAAGGAAAGAAATGGCAAAAAAAGCCATGCATTTGTATAATACTAGTAATGATGAAATGATATAGAAGTAATCTATAGGATTGATGATTATACACATATCATGTTAAATGTATATAGAAAAATGATGCATGCATAGTGCATGATATGTATTTTAGGTGCTCATGTTGGTTGTTTTTGGCATTTCTCAAGAAATTTATTTGTAGATGTCTTTTAAGTCTTACTAAAGAATATTATAATTTTGGATAAGAGTCCTGTTAATATCATAAGAGAACTTGTAGTTTGCTTGCCTTTTCCTTCTCTACAAAAAAAATATGCTCACTATATCATCACTATAGTGGCATTTGTTTTTGCCCTTTATGGCAGAGGGATCTTCATTGTTAAAGCCTTTCTCCCCTATGATTTGGATAGCTAATGCAAAATTGCCAATAGAGGCAAAGTTTTGAAATATTGGAGCTTGTAAAGTAGAACTTGAAATTGAAACGATGTGGTTATACCTAAAAAAGAAGAAGGAAAAAAGAGAGGATGTGCTAATATATTGCATAAAACATATTATATAGATTTTATGGACAAGTATTTTGAATCTTTTGCTAAGCACTTGGATGTTGCTGCCTTGGCTTGAGGCTAAGGCATTGCAAACGTTATTCTTGTCCAGCTTGGCTCTTTTGTGGCTATATGTCACTGGTCCGAGTGTCATGTCACTAGGTTGATATGTAGGGCCAGTCACTGGGAGGAGATGACATGATGATGATGTGGAGGTGATGTGGCTGAGTAACGTGGTGAGTGGGCTCATGTACACCTATAGGAGGCAAGGGAGCACCAATATTAAAATTTTAATACCAAGGTGTGGATGCAACTGTCAGGCTCATGGATTTTTATACTTTAATTCCTTAAAACTCGTCTGAGGTTTTTTTTCCCAACCAAGGGAGAATAATGCTGTCCACACAAGGCTTAATGAAGAGAAAAATCAAAGAGAAAATAAACTTTTGGACATTGGGAAAAAAAACTTTGGAAATTGCAATTATATCGTGGCAGACCCATTGAAATTATGCATCATTAAGTTTTCATTGCTAGTAGAGTCTTAATTTATGGCCATCTATATTAGTATTGTTTTGGTTACTTTTCTAGTTTATCTGGTATGTTTCATTGGCGGTGTTTGGGTAGAGGCATTTATGGCTTTTTGGGCTAAATTAGCACTAAAGACAAAATAGGATAAAATAATTAATAAGATAAAATGTCATATTCATAATCATTTCATTTTTTTTCTCACAAACATTACATATAACTACAAAAAATCCAACCCTCTTCCCAAGCACAACTATTTTAGCCAAGCTAAAATAGCCAACTACTAAAATAGTCTACTAAAATATCCAATTTCCCAAACGGGGCCGTAGTTTAAGTTTTATTTTATTTTATTTTTTTAGTGCTTTTGGACGTGCTGGAGTTATGGTTTCATGGGTCAAGTCCTGGTCATAAAAAAGGAAGTAACAATAAAATCTATTAAATTATAAATAAGAAAGTAACAATTAATAAATCCTTAATCTCCATCCAATTCCTTCTTGTTCCCCATCACCCAATTATTGCATGTGTAAAATAAGCACCCTAACCAGCCAAAACTGTAAAAGAAATTTCCATTTACTTTTCACAGCATCTGAACACTCCAAAAGTGCCTGATCAACCTTTTTTTAATCTTTTTTTGCCCAACTAGAACACCAAATGACTGCCCTATTTTTACACCATCACAAAGTTTAAATGCCACTTTTATTATGGTTTTGGTCACCATGACTAAAATCAGTCTTTAAAGAGTCCTGTCCATGCTGCCCCAAGACAGTTTTGGCATCAGATATTTTAGGAGTGTTATATACACTCACTGTAGTTCAGATTAAGTTACATTTTCAATGTAGAACTATTTCATACCATTTAAATATCAGTATCATATCAAATATCAACCTTGGGTATGTGTGTTTCATGTGCCTGAGTCTTGTATATTTGTTTGTATAGCATAACACGCAGCACATTATTGTACAAAGCTTGTTGCAGTTTCATTTTCTTTTGCTATTTGTTTTAATATGTTGCAGGGTCGTATAAAATCCGTGATTTGGCAGTAATGTTAGATATTGATGACACTAGTACAAAAACCCAAGCTATGGCATTTTATCAGGTTTGTTCTTGTAGTTTGATTCATTCTTCTTTTACTTTCTTTGAAATGACCAAGTTTGATTGTTTCAAAATTGTAGATAGCTGTTGAGCGTAGTTTTACTAAGGGGCGGAGAACTGACCAAGTTGCAGCAGCTTGCCTTTATATTGCATGCCGGTAAGTGGTTTTTTTTTCCAGCCAAAGTTCAAATTCATATTGACTGTCAACATAGTAATGTCATGGATAATTTTTTGTACTTCATTAATCTATTTCTTTTCCTTTGTATGCTGTTTAAACTTTTAAGTTTATGTTAAAAACCTTTGAGTGTGTTGAATGAGTGTGCCACTCGTCTTTCAAAAAGAACACCCTTTTTCTTCTAGGAAAAATATTAATGAACGGGACTGAGTATGAGAAGGACCCCATAGATCAATATGCATCAAAATCAAAGGTGTTTGAGAGATAAGATTGTACTACTACGTTTTGCTAGGCCACATACTTCATGCAAGAATTTATCAAAATCACCAATCTTGGCATATAAAGAAAAGAACAATCTTCTCAATGAATAATAGGTTGGATGGTGTTATCTTTAGTGCCTTTGATTCAAACAAGTCTATGTGTCAAACAAAATATAGATGTGTGGGTAATGGTGTGTTTAGTGTTCGGTTGTGGACCTTCCAAGAATCATGGTAGGTACTAAGATGCTGTGAGCACCAGAGGTGAAAGAGAGAGCTAAGGCAACCTTAGAGTGGAGAGAGAGAGAGAGACTCTGATGCATAAAGAAGCTCCATGTCTGCAAGATAAGCTTGGCTATAAGTCTGCTTATTGCATATGGAAGGGGAGACCCCTTTTCATAAGAGAGATGGGCCATGGACTCTCGTGATTTGTGCTGAGTACTTGTGATACACCTTACGAGATAGCAGTGGGTAGGTATGATGCACTTCCCAAGGTATGACATGACTTTGTCAACCTAGGTCTTTGTGTAGAGCCCTCTTTCTCATATCTAAGACTTTGTCATGGTGGAGCCACCTTAAGGTGTGAGCAAAGCAACTTTGATGATCACTCAACTCTAGCCACCAATCTACAAGTTCTTAGTGATCTCGTGCGGGGTCATAGGTTTCTTGGACATCTTATGATTGAGGGAGTTCTTACGCTTTGCTCTCGACCTAGGCAGGCTATACTGTGTTAGAGTGTCATTTTGGAGTTGGAGCTTTCACAAGGCAAAGTGATTGTCGAGTGGGCGAGGTGAGGCGCATGACACCATGTAGTAGTGATGGTGGGTGAGCAGATAGTCATGGAGCGGAGTATCCACTTGCGGAGTGGGGGAAGTTGCTCTCGAAGTGGGGGATGTGCTCTCAAAATGGGAGTAATTTGCTACTCTTGGAGTGAGGATATTGGCTCGCAAAGCGTGGATGTGCTTGTAGGGTGAAGGTATCTCTGCTCGCAGAGCAAGGGTAGTGAGACAAGCAGATGGTTGCAAAGCTAGGGTCACCTATAGCACTTAGGTGAGGGAAGGTTCACGAGACAATGGCAAATGCTTAGGTGAGCACCTACCGAAGCAAGGCTTATGCCTTGAGGTTGTGGAGTCCACTCCTTAGTAGTTGTATGACCAATCAAAAGTATTCAAATACCTACAACAGGCATCTAGTCATGCAGTTTCACTAAAATATTCACATTTGTCCACAATCCCTCCTACGAGAAAAATATCAAATATGTGCTCATATGAGGTAGTGTACATATATTTATTTTTTTATTAAGAACATTTTTGTACCACTATGATTGGAGTTTCGATATGTTGTTTTTGTCGTTGTCTTGCCTAATTTTTTGGTTGCATAGTGCGTGGCTGTTTTTTTTGAAATCTTTTGAAATTTATTTTTCATAATTTTCTTTTATAGTATAGCATACAAATATTCTAAAGCACATCTCTCTTTTCAAATTTGAATCTAGCATTTTAGAGAAACGAACTTATTGTCCCAACATTGTAGGGATATTTGTCGTCCACATTTTGAGATATGAAGACTTTAATGGCCGCATACTCTAGAAAAATCCTATAAACCAAAATTGTTGCGTAAAAACTTTTGATTTTCTACTGAGCCTGAAGGAATTGAGGCTGTCCTATGATCATATATGGTAGTGTGGGGCTTTAAATTTTAGCATTATGGATAGCCAAGCTTAAGGTTTACGGGTGGGATAGAATTCTAATTTTTTTAAATTTTTTTAAGGCTGCCTTTGATAGGGCCGCGTGGGGAAGAAGGATTCATGTAGCCGACCCCATTTGATGGGACTTAAGGCTTGGCTTGGTTTGGTTTTGTAAGGCTGTTTTTGGTCTCAAATAAAATGAAAATTTTGCTAAATTTTCTGGACAGAAAGGAAAATTTGTTGTTTCTGGGCTATAATGGTAGGATAATTATGATTAGGGCTTTAGAATCAAAGGCTTAGGAATAAAATTAGGGATGAGTTGCACTAATTATTGCTTTCTTTAGAGTTATGTGCCGTTAATGATGTGTGTATGACCTTATTTGGTATTCTAATCTTACAGTATAATTGTATCTCATGTTAATTCTACCACATTTCATGAAGTCATTATTTACCAAGTAATGTAAGTTTATCCTGTTGTTTTGTAGGGACAATCGGAAACCATATCTACTTATTGATTTTTCCATTTGTTTGAGTATAAATGTGTAAGAAAGCACCTATTTCAGAGAGTACAACTTGATTCAAATGTCCTTGATTTAGGTTCCACTGTTTGCCTGTATGATTTATTGATGTTGTTATTTTAAATTTTGTAGGTATGTTCTTGGTGCCGTCTTTCTACAGCTTTGCAAACTGTTAAGTCTTCAAGAGCATCCTATAGTTCAAAAACCAGTTGATCCTAGCCTTTTTATTGATCGATTTACAAGTAGTAAGAGCCCGTATACCCTTTTACTTTTGTTGACAGTTTATTTTTTTTCACACTCAGAAAAATGCTGACAGGTTTGAGTTCTCTGTAGTCTTGATGTTCAATTTGGGTGAGAAATCTGACACGATTTAGCAATAACTAGCTTGAATTGGTTTGTCATTGTAAAGTAAAACATATTCTACTTTCTAGCTTGATGTATTTCTTGTAATGTTTTTTTGTGATGCAAGTTCATATACTATCCCACCTTAGCTTTAGAAATGTCAAGTAGTAGAATAATTATAATCCTTTTATTAGTGTTAACATGGTTAATTAGCATAAGGGTATACGGCCCTAACAATATGCCATCCAGTACATGTTTTCCCAAAACCTAGTGCCTTCTTTCCCCTTTCGCTACTGTGAACCACATAAATATTTTTTTTCAAACCGTTTTCCTCAAGACGATTTATTGAAGCACATATATCAGGTAAACATGAATTAGGTGCATGTTTGTCCCTCTAGAACCTAGTTAAAAGTCAACAAGAAAGTTTGGCACACATGAAAACATCTATGATGTAATTTGTTCATATAGGTTGTCACGTTCCTTGAGTTATGCAGTGAACATTATAATGCATTGTATGACTTGATGCATTTTATTCACTAGTCATGCATTTCTTTTATTACTTTTGCTCAATAATGTAATATTCTTTGCATGTAGAATTAGTGGGAGGAAATAATATGAAGGTCAGTAGAACTGCATTAAACATAATAGCCAGCATGAAGCGAGACTGGATGCAGGTTTGGCATTCTTCTTCTTTTTGCAGGAGATGAATCCTTTTTTTTTCCCCCTTCTCAAATGGTTCCTATTGGGTACTTGATGATTGTTTTGTAATCGTTCCATTTCGATTTTCAGACGGGCAGAAAACCTAGTGGGCTATGTGGTGCAGCAGTCTATATCTCCGCTCTTTCACATGGGCTCAAATGTTCAAAGTTGGACATTGTATGTGTAGCTTAACTTGATTTCTATTTTCCATTCTGCTCCTGTGTTAGATTGCTAGGAGATGTTTTTCATTTCATTTGTCCTTGAAATGTTTATTAGTTCATCATCTTAAATATCTTTTGTTGAACTGGCCTGCCATCTTTCCTCTCAATTGTTCCCTGTAAGTTGTGTAAAATGCCATGATATTCTTTTCACTTGCCAAGTCATTGTGGTATGAAATTGGAACTAAAATTCCACACAAAGATTTATGTTTGGAGTGCTTGTTAAATTAGCAACTGATTGTGATGCTTTTGTGATAAAATGCCCATGCCCTTAATCACCTCTATGTCCTGTTTGCAAAGGCGCAAAAATTGTGTTGCTTCATTGGTATTGTTAGAGATTGTTGTTAGAAAAGACAAACATTTATATTGAAAAATGCCCATGCCCTTAATCTCCTCTATGTCCTGTTTGCAAAGGCGCAAAAATTGTATTGCTTCATTGGTATTGTTAGAGATTCTTGTTAGAAAAGACAAATTTTAGCTCATTCATTTATATTGAAAAATATTGCTTAAAAAGAAATGAAATTGCAAGAGTACCCCTTTAACGCATGATACTTAAAATCTCCTCTCAAGTAGGAGCATAGATATCTACCATGCACAGCTTGTTACATAACACATAGAACAACCCTTTTCACAAAGCCCAAGTATGCACATAACCTACTTGATTCTCTGTCTTAACATATTTCATGAGAGGACAAACCATATAGAAGTTGACTGTTCCCAAAGCCCAAGTATGAAAATGTTCACTTAGCTGGGCTTTAAGATCCCTAATGCCATTCTTGTCACTAAGTGATCATGATATTATAAACATACATGATGAGAATAACTTAACCCTTTCGCTGATGTTGAACAAACATTGAATGATCTGATGCTGCTAGTGTCCTTTCATACTCTCTCACCAATCACCATAGTACTGAGCTTGTCAAACCAGGCCCTTAAAGACTATTTGGCCACATAAATTGCTTTCTTTCGTCTACACACTTTCTTTGAATCCCTGAGCAACATGGCTTGGGGTTGCTTGATAAACACCTCTTCTTGAAGATTCCCATGGAGGAAAACATATTTTTTTTAACTTCCATCTGGTGAAGTGATCATATTTGGCAGCCACAGAAAACAAAACCAATAATCTACCCAAATGTTTGAGTGTATCCTTTTGCCACTGGTCAAACTTTAAGTCATTTAGTAGTCCCATCCCATCAGGTTGGTTCTTCATTATAAACCCACCAACCTTCTACAGATTGTTTGCTTGGAGTTAAAGATGTGAGTTCCCAAGTAAATTCTTAAGCAAAGGTGAACATTTGAATGACAAACAAAGGCAAAGGACAAAGGAGAGACAAAGGAACGATAACGTGGAGATAAATGAGAAAAAAAAGAAAAAAAGAAAAAAATCTGGATTGGATGAAGTGTGCACGATCGAGTATCTTTCCTAAGACCAGTATGATCCTTGGAAGGGTGACCATCTAAAGATTGTGGAGCTTCACATTGTGAGATGGTGGAGCTGGTGGTGTATGTTCAGTATTAAGTTTGAGAGATGGAAGACTTTTCTACAGCAGGTAGAAGTACATATGGGCTTATACCTTTTCAGGGTACAGATAGGAAGGAGAGGTGGTGGTGCACCTGGCAGAAGGTTTAAAAGGGCTTGGTAAATTTCTTGCACTCCATTTTAAGGTATTCTCAAGCTGTTAATGGCAATCAAAGCAAAAACAAGGCAAGAGAAGGATGGTATGGCTGTGAAGCAGAGTGGGGGAAGCAAAGCTAGATGTGGAAGGGATTTAAAAAAATTTAGTTAGCACTATCAATTATGATGAAGAAAGAAGGGTTTGGAGTGGAGGGGCTTGATGGTGGCTGCCTGGATAGGTCTCTTTAACCTTTATGAGGTTTTGAGCCGATGTAGGGGTTTTTTCATTTATTTGTATTTTTATTGTTGTTTTGCTTTGTACTTGGGTGGTGTCCCCCTTTTACCTTTTTAATTACATTTCAATTACTTATAAAAGAATTTTTTTTGGTCATCAATTTAGTTAAATTTGTTAGCATCAAATAACTTGATCAAAATTGACTGTTTCTTTTCTTGATCAAGTTTCTTCCATTATCATATGTGACTTTCATGTTGCTTCTACTTGATATTTGGATAAATTTTCCATGAGTCAATTTCTACTAAAATGTTTGGTGCATACTATTGTTCCAGGTGAAAGTTGTTCATGTATGTGAAGCAACATTGACAAAACGATTGATTGAATTTGAGAATACAAATTCTGGGAGCTTAACAGTAAGTGCCGCATCAATTACAAAATAATCTACAAGCACATGTCTATAAAGAGCATTACGATTCCAACAGATTTAATAATTGAATGAAGTCATTCTGTCAGTTTTGATGCTCATATGGGTAACCTGGGCCCACAGTGGGATATTGTTGCCACATCTGACATATGATTAGGCACAACGGCAAGTTACAGCTGTAGCCTTGTAAAATGTGACATGTGCCTATTATTTTGGACTCTTGATGGGCTTGAGATGCCCAAAGTGCACGTCTCATAATTGTGTGTAGGAAAAGTTTTCTATGCTTTTGTTGTTCATACCTGTATATATAATATCCTACAAAACAAAATGTTAAGATAACTGATGGCTATGTATAGGAAACAGTTCTCTAGCTTATCCATCTTGGGATCATAAAATGACTATAACAGGCTTATACAAAGTTATTGTTGATACCTGAAGATCAAAGAAAGAGAACTAACCTTAAAGGCGATTTATTGACCCAACTTATGTCTTATTATAAAAAATAAAAGGTCAGTCATTATTTACTGAGAATTTACATAGTTAACGCTCTTTCTTTGCTTCATGGATACTTTTAAGGAATAGCCTTCACTATATTGTACACTGTGTCCTAACACTCCGTCAGGCCTGGCCATATGCTGCAGATGCTGCTGATATGTCGTCAGTTTAGAATGATTTTTCCTGCCAGCATAGGTGAAACATGATTTTTATACTGGTCTGGACATTTTATTTTATTTTGGTATAGCTAACAAATTCAGTTGTACTTGGGGAGAAAAAAAGAGCAAAGATATAGTGGAAGAGTGATGGTGCTGGCCGTAGTAGTATTTGTTAATATAGTCATATAATGTGTTTTGATCTTCTACTTCCAAGGCACTCAATTCTAGTGTAGAAATTTAAATAAATTAAACAAAATTTTATGGGACAAACATACACATCTTGTTCAAAAAAACATACATGCATGTCTGTATATATATATGTAATTTTTTTGTGTGTTATTGATAATTTACTTATTTGTTGAAATTCTCTGCTGTGCTAGATTGAAGAGCTCAATAAGAAAGCTCAGGAGCTTGACAAGGAGGATCATTTGTGCAAACTGTCAGAAGCTAATTCCCAAAATTCTAAGACAATGGAAGTGCTATGCAAACACAAGGACAGAAAGCCTCATTTTGCTGGACTGTGTGAAAGTTGTTGTAAAGAAGTAACTCCTCTTTCCTTTTCTATCATCTCCTTTTTCATGACTCCACTTTTCTGCATTTGCTTCATGCTTGTGTTGGTGTTGGTAGTTCATCGAACTTTCTGGGGGACTCCATGGAGGAGCAGAACCTCCTGCGTTCCAGCTTGCTGAAAGGGTGAGATTAGCTGAAGCATCTTCTGAGAAGGTTAAGGATCCAGGTTTCATCTTAAAGCCCCACCAAAGCAAAAGCAGTCATGACGATAATGATGAAATGGTCAGTACTGGTTGTTTCTGCTACCTTCATAATTATCAGTTCTTTCTATTTTGACAGGTAATGGGGTGTCCTAACAGAAAGAAGGAATAACACCCTATTTAAAGGAACTATTTTCAAACTTTACTTGATTTGAGCAGCTGGCAATTAACAAAGAAGTTGAACATATTTATTGGCTTCTAGTCCATTTTCCTGATTTGGACTACATTAAATCTATTCCATATCCACATAATTTTTTGTACTGACTTGAAAATTTTGCTTGAATTGGCTATACTTGGAATTTGTTTGAAGTACAGTGAAATTCAATGAAAATGCATGTTTTATTTAAAAGTATATAGTCAGTGCTTATTGTCATTTGTCAGTGTATTTGGATGGTTGTACCTATCTTCTTTTGTCCATCTGGTATTGAGCTTTTCTCTCTCATTGTGCTTCTCTCTTTGAAAGTACAAAGAAATTTTATGAAAATACATGTATCAAATTTAAAAGCATGTAGTTGGGGAGCTCGTTCTCTCATTCTTTTCAAATTCCAGTTACACTCACCTGTTTGACTAGTTCGATCTGAGATCCTCCTTCATTTATTTGAAGGAAGCACAGATTCGCCGGTAGGTATATATGGAGCCCCGGATAATGCTTCATGTGAATTATCAACGTTTGTGGATGGCTATACCTATATTCTTCAATGCTTCTCTCTCTCTCTCTCTCTCTCTCTCTTAGTGGTTGTACTTATTCTGTCTTTGATGCGGTTTGTCTGTTGTTTAGGAAGTGGAACATTTCACTGAAGCCAACCAAAATGTAATTGAAGCTGAGACAGCAGACTTCACAGAGCCTGCTAGTGCTTGTAAGCCCTATATTATTTTATATGAAGAACTGTCTTCTTAATGTTGCAGTCGTGCATTCATTGTGGGGAATTCTTGAGTACTTCTGTACATATTTTTTTGTTTCAGCTGCATCTGTTGGAGATCAGGCCACAACTAATGATGCCTCTGACATGTTCCAAAAATCTAATGACATGAATAATAATGCTGATGAGCCAGAAAGCCTTTCTGATATTGATGATGTTGAGGTACGCAGTTCAATTGCATTAGCATTTGTTTGCATAGTTAAGCTCTAGTACAAAGTATTGTTTTATCCTTTCCTCATACAAAGAAAGAAAAAATGCTATGAAGCAATAAGTTTCAAGATGTTTTGGAGCCAGAATATGTTGGTTCAGTGTTTTGGCATCGTCCCGAATATTTGGCATAAAAAATGCATGCATCCTGTTATAGAATTAGATGAAAATGCATGCATTCATATACCTCTAATCAGATGAAAATCTTTTCTCTCACTATTTTTATTTAAGCCTTTTTTGACCAGTTATTTCTTTCTTTCCCTGGTTGTGCTGATACTATTCTCTAGTAATTAAACACCAACACAAGAAATTCTAAATGCCTTAGGACTGCATCCTTCTTGTCAAGTCTACAAAATTTTCCAGAAACTTAGGCTCCGTTTGGTGGAGTTTTCAAAATCTAGTTCCACACTCACTTTTGAGTGTGGTGTTTGTTTAGGGTTTTTAAATCATAATTCTACACTCATTTCTCAAAACTCAATTCAAAACATAATCATTACTTTTCAAAACTCATAACCAAACACATAATTCAAAACTCTTTTCAAAACTCCATTCAAATCAATATTTTAAAAATATTTTAATTTTGTTAAGATTTTAAATATTTTAATATTTAAATATGTTACGATTTTTTTAATTTTTTAATTTTTTTAATTTTTTGAATATTTTTAAATATTACGATTTTAATTTTTTAAATTTTAAAATATTTTATAAAAATAAATTCAAACTCTATTTTATAAAAATATTTTTAAATATTTTAATTTTTTTGTTATGTATTTGGTTACGATTTGAGTGTAGAGTTGTGAAAGTAGTATGGAGTTTCGAGTTATGTGTTTGGTTATGAGTTTTAAAAATAATTTTTTAATTGAGTTTTGTTTTATGTGTTTGGTTACGATTTGAGTGTAGAGTTATTTTTAAATTTAAAATATTAACATTTAAAATTATTTAAATTTTTTACTTATTAAATTTTTTAGATTATTTGAATTATTTAAATATTTATGATTTAAATTTTTTGAATATTTATTTTGAAAAAAACTTATTTCCTTTGTAGTATTTTCAATTAAAAATTTGATTAATTTTACGATTTAAAATTTTTGAATATTTATTTTAATTTTTTACTTATTAAATTTTTTAGATTATTTAAATTATTTAAATATTTATGATTTAAATTTTTTGAATATTTATTTTGAAAAAAAATTATTTCCTTTGTAGTATTTTCAATTAAAAAATTGATTAATGTTATTTTTTGTTAATAATAAATTTTTTTAATTGAATTTTAAAAAGAGTTTGGTTATGAGTGTTGATCAAAATTTTCAATAATGTGAAAGTAATGTGTTTTGTTATGAGTTATAACAATTTGAATTAAGTTTTGAAAACTCTTTTCAAAACTCATAACCAAACAAATTTTCTTACTTCACATGTCAAATCAAACTTTCAAAACTCAATTCTACACTCAATTCCACACTTTATTCAAAAACCATAACCAAACAAATTTTCTACACTCAAATCATAATTCTAAAACACACAAACTCAAAATACAACTCATACTCTCAAATCATAGTTACAAAGCTCTACCAAACGGAGCCTTAATTTTTTAGAAGTTACGGGTCTAGTTTGTCCTTCTGTTCTTGTGTTAAAGTTTTCAAGCACAATCTGTAGAAAACATCTATGAGCACTGAACCCATGACCAAAGTAGAGTGGCAATTTGAAAGTTGGGTCATGGGTTCAGTGCTCATAGATGTTTTCTTTACTTCTTGAAAATATACCAAAGTTAGCTGTCTTCGTGATTGTAACATAACCGGCATAGCAACTTGATTATTGCTTGATCTTTCAGCTGGCCTTTATTTGTGGGCAACATGTCATGTCCACTTCAATCACTTGGAAGTGAAACAGTATAATTTGTTGCGAACTTGCAATACCAAATGAAACAGCTAGCTGATAGAATGAAAGATTGAAGAAAAACTTTTGCTGCATAACAGCAAAGAGAGACTTAGCTGTTCAGGGAAGAAAAATAGCAACTAGTGTAATTTTCTAGCTAAATGAAGCCTTGCCATTAAAAAGTTGTTGGAATCAACTGGCTCGTGTGTTGTATTATATATCTTACGTTCCTATAAGGAACTCTCAAGCACCTAACTGAATATTTTTGTATCTGAAGAATGTACATGTATAGGTGTGACATTATTTTGTCTAATTGCTTTTGGCACTTTATGGTCTAATGAGTTTGTTTTTTAGTTTGGGAGTTGGTTGTGAACCTCGCTTTATTTTGACGTTCCATTGATGAATTCTTCCACGTTTTCACAATTTTATTGTTGCTTTTGGTGTTTTTATGTTCTTATTGTGTGTATTTCTAACAATATTTTGTGGCATAGGTAAATGGCTACCTTAACAATGAAGAGGAGAGTTACTATAAGAAGATCATATGGGAAGAAATGAACAAAGAATATCTCCAGGTGATAGATTTGTCTACTTATTTGGATAGCCTTTTGGGATACATACAATATGTACTTTGGAAGTAGACCTTATTGGTGGTCGATAATACTGATCTGCATAGTTTTCCAGGAACAAGCAGCAAAGGAAGCAGCTATTGCCGCTTTAAAGGAAGTTACTGGGGGTTCAGATGATATGCGCACTGCACAAGAACTTGCTGCAGCAGCTAGAGCTGCTGTAGCCAAATCAAGGGAGGTACATATCCACGTCTTCTTCTTCTTCTTTTTAATTTTATTATTTATTTATTTTAATTTTTTTACTAAGCACTTTTTGACTAACAGCCCTTAGGTTTCTAATAACAATTACAAAGACATCCCTCAAGTTTTTGACAATTACACTTTTCTACTGTCAGAAACTGCCATGGAACCTATGATTTTACTATTTTTTCCTCACAATTATCAACAATTTGCCATGTGGAAGATGACTGACACTTCATAAACAATGGTTCTACAATGTGGTTTTTTAATGTTGGAAATTGTATCTCAAATAGTAACCACCATTTTTCCATGAGTTAATTTTTTAACATATGAAGAGGTTGTAAAATCAACATATAAATAGAGCAAACAACGCAACTGATATACCCACATACACACACTGACACGTGTTTCTTTGTGACAAAATGATTATCACCATGTGACAGTTTATGTTTGCGTTTTTGTTTGGTCCAATGGTATATGCCAACAGGGTGTTAGTCCTCCCCCTGCTAATATCCCTGTATCCATAACTTCTCCCCAACATGGGTGACAGCAAGATTTAGTTTTAATTCTAGGAGACTTTTTACTGACCAGTCTAGTTGGCACCTTCATCTGCTAACTCAGCTTTCTTTTAAATCTACTTTTCTCAATCTTGTTCTTTGATTTGTGAATCAGGAACGACGACAAAAACGAGCTTTGGAAGCTAAAAATGCCAATCCTGCTCAAACCGCTGCAGAAGCAACACGCCAAATGCTAACAAAGAAGGTATGGTATAGTCAGAATCAGTGCAAAAACGAGTGTTGTTAACTAAACGATATTTCAAGCATTTGTGGTATGGGACATGAATTGTTTGCCATGTAGCTGGCACATCATGTTTTTGAATCCCTAATTTCTTCACCACCCATTGGAGATGCGTTTATGGTTATATGTAGCATCAGATTTTGTTAATTTTGTTTTGTTCTTTTTTGTTTCCACAGCATTTCGACATATTGATTGTGTTCATGTTCTACCTTCTCCTAATTTGCTGATTGTTATGTTTAACAGAGATTGAGTACGAAGATCAACTATGATGCACTAGAGAAACTCTTTGATGAGCAGGTATGCCATTTTTTAGGCGTGTTTATTCATTTGTTTTCTCAAAGTTATAATTTAAGAAATACTATGCATCAAACATGTAAAATATTTGAGTTGCGGAATTGCAGTTATACAACCTTGAGTTGGGTATGGCTTTTCTCATGTTGAAATAGGGTTAAGCTCAAGCTTGGCTTCACTTGCACAAATTTGTAGGCACCATGATAGCTGTAAATAGTAAAATTGTCTAAGAACTGCTCTAATTTTTATTCACTTCACATTAAAATGGCTTTGGTCAAGCTTGTAGCTAATATATGCACGAAGTTGGAACTTGTGTTGCTAGATGGATTACTTAAACTAGATCATATGTATTTGGTGGTAAACTTTGAAAATGAGAAAATGACATCCTCATAAATTCTTTGTAGAAACTTGACCAGTTGTGATCATATGTGTTTTTGGCATTTTGTGCTTCATTGTCAAATTTTAGGTTTGCATGAGCTTTGACTAGCTGTTAGGATGCGTTTTTGAGGGAGAATTTGTGCAGGAAAAAGAAAAGAAAAAAAAAAGTATTTTTTTCATTAGGGTATGGCTATCCCAATAATGAGAGAATAACTACAGATCCATCCATGGATGGATGTGGTGCTAGTTTTGTTAGGAATCCATGATGCCTAACTAGGATCAGTTTGACATGAAACACAAAGAACTAACACACAAGAATGATAAATCACATGCACACATAAAGAACACAAAATTTACGTGGTTTATCTCAAAACTAGGGTTACGTTTACGGTTACTGTAGTTTTCACTATGATCAGAAAGGTTATAAGAGATTACAGAGATAGCCGTCTCACTTAATATGTAAATACATAGAAATTAGGGCAACAGGTCACAAGTGTGGAAATACAAAAAGAATACTCTTATGTTGAGTGAATAGTGTCTAATACTAATCACGATCCACACTACAAGAAATTTATGTTTAGTTCTTCAAACAGATTGATTTCACTTTTCTGTACAATTCTCAATTTCCTTGTGTAAATACCAATTGCAGCCTGCTCCTGATGCCAAAAAAGCCCGTGCTGAATCTCAACATGAAGCGGATACTACAAACAACGATGAGCAAGTGCAAGAGAACGTAGATATGGAAGGGACGGTTGGCAACAAATCATATATGGACGGATGGTATAGAAATGAGGAGGAAGTGTCTGATTATGGTTATTATGATAATGATGGGGACGATGAGTATTGACGTTATTTTCAGCCGATGGATTCTGGATTTCAAGTGGGATATCGAGGTGAATTGACGTTCTTCAATATACAAGCTATTCATCAAATTAGATGAATATGTTTCAAATTTGTAGTAGGTAGAAGTTGATATGCATTATTGATAGGATACTCTGTTTATTAAAATTGTAAATGACTAGCAGTTGAAATGCAGAAGTTACAAAATTATTTTCTTTTTGTACAATGAGCTAGAAGTTAATGGTGAGGGTAATTGTGTCAAAATGTAATGTCGTACTTGTTTAATATATATAGTTACAGGAGCTAACCTTAAGGTTTAAGCTCTCATTCTTCTAATCTTCTTATTCTTCATATTAACAGTTTATTTTGCCGCCTTCTGTTACTTATTTCTCACTTTTATTATTATTGGAATATGCTGTTTATAGTGAAGTGATCAAATTTTGGCATTTTAGCGCGGCTCCAATGTTCACCCTTCCTCCTCCCTCTCTCCCTCCCAACGAAAATCAAATTTGTGTATAAGCTTTATCTGATATCGAGCGCTCTAATAGAGAATTTTAAATTTTCATCAAAGTACTAATTGATCGTCCGTTCGGTCAACCAGTCAAAGTAAATTGTCCAAATTTTGAAACAGACTTTTTATAATAAATTGCAAGGAAGTAGATGTTCGGAGGAACAACTGGCCGGACAATTAGCCGGTCGTTCAGTGCTCCTGCATACCTGCAAAGCTAACAACTATTTATAGTAATTTGATGAAAGGCTCAAGGTATTCTGAATTTGATGAAAAATTTAAGAAATTTGATACTAGTTTGATATTAACGTTGCCAAAATTAGATTTTTTTTTATTAAATTTAAATTTAATGAACGGAAAGAGTAAGTGTTGGAGACACTTCTACAATATCAAAATGTTATTTTTTTTGGCAATTATGGTACTAATGGTGCGAATGCTACTTTTTTGGCTATAGTGATTCAAGTTTTGTTGTGATCATATGTATTTGGTGGTAAACTTTGAATATGAGAAAATGACATCCTCGTAAATTCCTTGTAGAAACTCAACCAGTTGTGATCATGTGTTTTTGGCATTTTGTGCTTCATTGTCAAATTTTGGGTTTGCATGAGCTTTGACTAGCTATTAGGACGCGTTTCTGAAAAAAAAAAAAAAAAAAAAAAAAAAAAAAAAAAAAAAAGGGTATATTTTTCATTTACTTTTTTTTGTCCCTTCACAATTTAAATTTTAATCCAAACATATATGTTTATGTTTTTGCTTCCTCTACAATTTAAATTTTAATCCAAACATATATGTTTATGTTTTTGCTTCCTCTTTTTGGCAGGATATATTATATGTGCCTACTTACAAGCTACTCCAATTGATGCTTTCGGAGAAAAAAAAAATAAAAAATATATATATATATATATTAAATAGAAGGAAAAAATAAAAAAGAGGTTATATTTTATTTCTTTGACCATTTTAATTGTTATTGATCTTATGATAGTTATTTATGTATATAAGGGGAAATTATCTATCAGTGGTAGGTTTAAAAATTTATTACAAATTCATAAGAAATTTTATGTTTTTAATTATCAATATTTATAAAGTTTATTATTTATTTGTTTGTAATTATTTTTCAAAATTACCCCTGGAGTGAAATTTCTCCTATATATTATGTTTAATATACATCAATTTTGATAATTATTGAGACATTATATATCTCGTGTTACAATCCTACTTTATAACTGGGGTGAATTATGTGTAATTTTTGTAATTTGTCTCTTGTGTCAATTTGATTTATGTAATTCTATTTATAGTAATTTTATCTTTTAATTTTTTATATTGTACCAATTTAATTCAAATTATAATATCTGTTAGGAAATTGAACATAAGTCAAAGATAAAGCGGTCCATTCAAAAAGAGAAGAAACCATTTTTACTTGGACGGCAACCATCAATCATTCTGAGGAGAGGGAATAGACAATTTTCATAATTAAATCCAGTTTAATTTTTAAAGGGACGTTATTAATTAAAAAATCCAGTTTAATTTTTAAAGGGACGTTATTAATTAAATTAAATTGATACAACATGAAAATTTTAAAAATAAAATTGATACAATTAGAATTATAATGACTAAATCAATATAAGACACAAACTATAGAAACTATATATATATATATATATATGTATATATTTGCCTTATAAATATCCTTGTCTTTCTTAAAGGAAAGAAGATATAAGAGAATATTCACATGTGCATGAGATAATTTGAATCACTGAGACACAAACTACCCACATTCGTCCGATCCTTTTAAGCTTACTAATAAAAATGTTGATTTAATTATCTCAAAACGTGTGGTTTGTTGTATCCAAACTTCAGAGTTTATCTTAAAAATAATTATATTGAATTTACATACAAAATGAAGTGACACTTTATGCTCTGTTCATCTCAATTTAAAATACCTATTATTCTAACTTATATTTTAAAAAATAACACAAGTATACCATTCTGATTCAGTTCTTTTATACAAATTTTGTTTAAAAACAATTTTTCTTAATTTATCAAATTGTGTTTTTTGTCTCATGTATTACAATTACTTAGGTAAATAATTTCACCACTTGTGTTCATTATTAAAATAGTAATAATTGATTAAATGATAAATAAAATATTTTATTACCTAATGAGTCCTCTTTCACTAGCTAAATATAGTTAGTGGTTTGATATTTAATTAAAGTAGCTAGCTAACAGTTGAGTTTGATAAAGTGTATTTCTATGATTTTGTGTTATAAAATAGCGAAGAGAAGTCTCTAATGAGCTTGATAATGATACTCTTATATTGAGATTTTAAAAAGAATGCTACTTTTCATAATTTTTTGGACTAACTTGATTCATATTCTCCTAATGAATGTGAACATTAGACAAGAAAAGTTATGAGTACGTTGAATTTTGAAACTATTGCACTCTATTTGAACCTTCATGTGTAGGGAGAAACAAAAACTTTATAACATTAATCTCTCTCAAAAAAATTAGATCGGATTAATGTCTCTCAATTATACTGGCCAGATTCTATATCCTCTAAATAACATGCTTATTGTTTCATCATTCCTAGGTTAATTATTAAAAATGCTTTCCTATCATTATCTTGTTTACTATTCATAGTAATTTTATGTAAATAATAGAAAAAAATTAATACTGCATCACTTAACACCTTTGTCCACTCACACATAAAAAAGGTGAGCAAGTTTGCTTTTCTTTTTTCTTTTTCGATTGTGAAGTTTTCTTGTTGTTAGTGATGCCAAGTAATTATATCTATAAATAATCTTCAATAATCACCTTCCGAATAAGAATGATTTGTCTCTAAATATCGCTATCCTCCTATTTCAAAATATTCATAACTGTTGAATCGTTTAAAAATTTTAAATTACTAAAATCTGAAAAAATGATCTACTTATTATAAATATTTCAAAACAAAAATAGAGAGATTTGAGACAGAGAATCACGGGCCATATATAAAATATCAAGTCAAGCATATGCTTGAATTTTCGAGGTCCTCTCTCTGATCCCAAAACAACATTTGAATAAGCAAATGTTTCATGAGTCCCAATGTCAGCTATTTTATGTGATTGTTTTGAGTTGCATGGTTGGCAAAGAGCTGGAATATGCATATATTAAAAGGATTAAAAGTAATGGAAACAAATCCAAGTAGAAGAAAGAATAACAAGATATAAAAATTGAAGTAGAGAAAAAAAATGCAATTTTTAAGTGTATGAAAGACACATTGTAGTGTGTTTTATATTGGTCTTGTTGATTATTTTTTTTCTCCTCCTTTCAATTTTAAGAGTAAGAAAGGCATATTGTAGTGTGTTTTATAATAGCCTTGTTGATGTATTATTTTCTTTTAGCCTATGTGGATGTTGTTGCATCACAATTTAGGGAGTGGATGAAGCAATTATTAATGAAAATTATATAAGCAATAATGAAAATCATAAAAAGAACAATCTTAGCATATAAGATTCCCGCTACTGTAGGATTTGGGAAGAGTGATGTATAGTCTTACTTTCATGTGTGGAGAGGTTGTTTCTATGGTCATACTTAGGTCACAATGGAACGGCTTTACTACTATACTAAAGTCCGCTCTATAATAATGAAAAATCATAACCTTACTGCTGTGCCAAGGTTTGCCCTCTAATAATGAAAACTATGAACTTTATGAATGATTTAGGCTTGATAAATTATTGAAGTGTGGAATAATTTTCACAAAAAGGCAATTCTTGGTGCGTATGTAAAGTAATTGCTTGGAAAAACACTAGCTTGAATATAAAACATGGAGGCAACTAAAACAAATGCAAGTGGGAGAAAAATTATAGAACATTGAAGATATATATAGAATATATATGCACATTTATTTATTCAGAATGATGAGATAATCTTGAGTTCAATCATTTGGAAAAAAAAGGTCCATCAATATTTATTATTATTCCATTAATGATTTAGATGATTGTTTGCAGATTGCAATTGGATTAATTTGACTTAAATTAAAAATTTTAAATACAAAATTAATAAAACTAAAAATTAGATAATTAACATGATGCATAATGACATAAACAAAACACGAGTCTAGGTATGAATAAATAAACAAAAACACATAAATTGACACATAATTCACACAAATGGACAAGATTTACCAAAAACACATAAATTGACACAAATTTTACATAAATATATGGGCACGATCTTACCACTTTGTTGATTGCGGCCACTTTTGATAAATGTTGTCCATTCATATATTTTTAGACAAATTATGTTGATGGTCCTTGTATTTTGTCTTTTGTGTCATTTTAGTTTTTATAATATTTTTGATGAAAAATGATCACTGAATTGATTGAAGCCAACTCACTCAGTTTGAACAAACTTATATTTTAACCCTAAAATCATGACGCATGCCATTTATCTGCCTATTTTTTATTAAAAAATACTAACAAAGGTAATCAATTAGATTGAGATAAAATCATAAATTCATGGTCAAAATTGAGTCAATTAAAATTGTAGAGACCAAAACAACACAAGAACCAACATACATGGACTACTAACATAATTTTTCGTATATTTTTTATGTTCATTTAAAGTAATTTTTCCTATATTTTTTTATGTTCATTTAAATGTTGTATTTTATGTTCCTAAACTCATTGAATAATCACCTGTATGTCAACAAAAGTTACTAGGACTTATCCAAAAGTTCACATCCCAAATGGGATTTGATAAAATGCACATTTGAATATGTCAACAAAACAAGAGAAAAATAAAAGAAATAAAGAAAGAATTAATAGAAGAAAACATGAAATCTTCTTGT